CTCCAGATAGTTTTCCAACCGGCGAATAAAGGTAAGAGCTGGTAACACAATGAGGCGATGGATTGGGCTTGGTCCAGAGTGCGAAAATATAAACCACTCCCAGCCAAGGCAGGGTAAGCAGTGTGTCGAAACTTGAGCACTAAACCCAGAATGACACAAGGCACCTCTTACCGCCTCACCGCAGTTTGCTTCTGATGCGGGTGTCTATTGAATTACATTTGATATTTCCCGACTCGGCGGGTTTTTCTTGACTATTTAAATTAAATTCCCTGGCCATTCAAAAATGCAAAAGTAAAGCGAACGCTGCTAAACCATACGTAATATATGAAGTCTTGGAGGCCGCTCACAATGTAAAACATGTCATTGAGATTAAAAGAAGTGAGATTGACCACTCGGTGGTTTAAACTATTTTCATAAAATCAGGAGTACTCATTGTTTGCCGATGTTAAAGTTCTCTTGACTTATGGCAATGATGTCGTAGAAGATGCGTTACCGAAAAGTGCCACGTGGAAAACACCAAAGAGGAATATCTGATATTACAAAGAGTGGTACCTGACAGTGAAAGCAATAGGTATGGCAAACAGGGCCATATTAACAGTTACGAGGGCCCGGTTCATGTTTCTGTAAAATGTACCTACTGCTTCTATGCCGAAGTTACATCATAAAATAAACCAAAAGTTTTTAATTATTTCTCACTTTTATCCCGAGAAGTCAATTCTTTTTGCTATGCAATATCAGGAAACAAATAGGATCAACATCAAAATCGCACGAACATATATCTGGCTTTATCAGCATTTTCTTTAGAAAATAGCAACGTATTTACATTTGTCACAACTTTTAGTGCTGCCTATTATATTAATAAGATACCAACCATCCTTTTGATATCCAACCGTAAAAATTGGAATTTTTTCGTAACTTTTTTTGTTGACTTTCAGTTATATATAGGCTAGTAAAATTGAAAAAGGATTCAAAAGGGACATTTTTGCTCGACGCCACATGTGCCAAGCGACAGCTGTTACTAAAAAGAAAATAAAACATTACCAGAAAAAAAACACAAAAAAAACGAAGCATTCTATTTAAATGTCACGCAGGAGACTGCAAAAAGTGATAAGTGCAGATTAACATATCTACTTTGCTGAATACAATTTCCAACAGCAAATAAGGGCTGGCTGTGTCATTTCTTATAATTAAATGCTTTAAAAGAAGCTTTCGGGTTTCGCTGGCAATAAATCCAGGCGTAATTAGTTCACCCAAACAGAGAAAAACAGTGAATGCATAAAAACCACCTCATACATTTTATAGGAAGGGGAGTCTATACTTCGTCTTACCTTAGCATGAACCACGGTGTAAGATAATACTCTTCAGGTGAGGACAGCGCGGTTTTCGCGCAGAGCAGATAAAGTTCGCTTTTTACTCTCCCTCTTTCTCTCTCACACTATGGTTTCAAGCGGCGCCGGCCGATGACTCGTCGACCCGCGGGCACGGCAAAGACGGCTCGTGCCGCCTCATGCTCCACACGCGCAGAGCTCCAGCGAGGTTGTCGCACGTGCAGAAAGACCGCGGTGCACGGGGGTGTCATGGCAACGAGATAACTTTTTCGCTCTCACACAGCTTCGCCGTTTGGCCACCGGCGACACTGTCAGCCGCGGGCACGGTGGCCGCGGGATGATGCAGCCTTTCGGATGCCCGTCGAACGAACACTATCTGATTCCTCGCGCCGTGCATTCAGCCCCGCCATGTCCTCACCTAAAGGGGTACTCACACGAGGGAGAAATCCCGGGGATTTCTCCCCGGCGCGCGCGCATCACGAGACGACAACGCGAGGCTTTTGCACATCGCAAAGCCTGACATTTTAGTCGCAGGATGCGCGTGCCGTGGAGAAATCCCCGGGATTTCTCCCTCGTGTGAATACCCCTTAAAGAGTGTATCTTACACCGTGGCATGAACTAATTGCGAAGGCACTGCAAGCGCGAGCGCGGATAGCCTTGACTGCCTTGACTGGAGCAGCCGCTGCAGGAGCGCTCGTGCAGCCGCCGAGCCTTCATCCAAAGCAACTATAGCTCGCGCTTTTAGCATGTGCGGCTCACAATAATTATATGCTAAGGTGATACTACAGTGTTCTAGTGATGCGAAGTATAGTGGAGCCACAAATTGTTATACATTCGAGTTTCCGTATAAGGGGTTGTTTAGCCAATGCCGCAAAAACGAAAGTCGCCATGCGCACGTATGTGTGATAGAATCGAGTTTGTGTATGTTTTTTCAGACAGATCCACCCCCACTATGCAACAGTGACATGCTGGCCCGATGGTCTCTTTCGTGCGTTGTTTTACCGCGTTTATAGCTCGAGATGTGCGTTAAAGTAATCGCTCGCGCGGTCGTCCATTCCACGGTTTCTAATGAAATCGTCAAGCAACGTGCTGAAAGTAGTAGGAAACGACAAACGTAGTATATGTATGGACACACCCATTAATTGATTTGATAGTGTTTGATTATTGCCAGTATAGTTAATCTTTAGCCGACAGTGTTTTGCAGGCCAAATTACGTTAACCGACATTATTAGGCATATCGGGGTCAGAGGGCCCACTCCACACGATGGGCCCGGTTTATTTCAACTCGTTAAAGGGATTGTCCGGTCAAAACCGGAAGTACTTAAGTTGTTGCGCTCGTTACATCGAGGGAGCCTTCATATAGACAAACGTCATTTTTATTTTGGTATATGATCTCCCGTTATTAATTAAACCTTTCATGAGCTTATGTACGAAGCTGCACCCCGAATTTCGCCAGTGTCAATGGCTGACATTCGTAGGTGCTATCATGGAAAACACCTACATTCGTAGGTGTTTTCCATGATAGGTCAGAAGAGATATGAACACCTAGATATTTGTAAGTTTAGTTTCATGTGCCAAGCATGCCACCAGGAAGAAATTGCATTTAAATCAGATTGAATTATGTGTACGTCAGAGTCATTAGTAATTTCACGGTAAACGCAATCATCCGCAACTACGCTTACGGAGGAGGAAATGCTAGTAGGTAGGTCATTTATATATATTAACAATAAGAGGGGGCCCAGGACAGAACCTTGTGGTACACCGGACTCAACGAGGGACGATGACGAGTTTTTGTTATTGACAGTTACAAATTGCGATCTGTTAGTGTGGAAACACTCTAACCAAGATAAGATATATGGATCAATACTGAGTAGGCTAAGTTTGTATAGTAGTCGTTTATGCCTTACCTTATCGAAAGCCTTTGCAAAGTCCAGAAAGATGCAGTCAGTTTGAGATCCACGGTCCAGAGCCGAGTGGAGGTTGTGGGTGAAAACCAAGAGCTGAGTATCACATGAGAAAGATTTGCGGAATCCATGTTGAAAAGGGCTAAAGAAGGAGTTGTACTCCAGGAAACGCGAGAGCTGTGAAGAAATTATGTGCTCCATAATTTTGCAGGGTACGCTAGTAAGAGATATTGGCCTGTAATTTAAAGGGGAGAAACGGTCACCAGCTTTGTAAATTGGAACAACCTTCCCTACTTTCCAGTCCTCAGGTAAGACGCCATGATCAAGTGATTGTTGAAACAAAGATGACAAGATGATCGATGAGTACATTTTGGTATTGTTTAGAAATTTCGCGTTTATCTCGTCGACACCTGATGCCGACGACAGCTTGAGGTTTTCAATAATTTTAACAATACCGGGTGGAACAAACACAATTGGTAACATGGGCAAAAATCAGAAGATGGTAGTATGGGATGGTCGGCACTTAAGAGACCACTAAAGACACTGATGAAACATTCGTTGAAAGTCATAGCGCAATCTTCACCGGAAATCACCTCTCCGCCTGAATTTTTAAGTTGTATTAAATGTTTGTAGGCAGGGTTGACTAAGTTCCAAAACTGCCTTGGATCGTTAGTGAGCATTGAAGGTAATTTTATGCTGAAGAAGTTATTTTTAGTTTCATCGACGGCCAATTTGTATACTTCAGCTGCCGAATGGTACGCGGCCCAGCGATCAGGAGACATTGATGCTTTAGCTGTTCGAAACGCTTTTTCTTATTAGACAGCCTTTTTAAAGTCGTATTATACCAAGGTGATTTCGAGTTTGATTTGACAACACGAGAGGGAATGTAGTTGGTGATCAGTGAAATAATTTTATCTTTGAACAGACACCAATTGCCTTCAACCGATCGCTCTGAAAAATTCTGCATATAAGAGTCCATGAATGTACATAGCTCGCGGTTTATGGATTCAAAGTTGGCTCTGGCGTAATCACGGATGTGTTTGACACACCCAGCAGAATTGTTCTTGGGAATTTTTAGGAAACAAAGCAAGGCTAAATGGTCACTAAGACCTGGAAGATAAGAGATCGGCTCTACGAGGTCCTTAGACGTAGTTAAAATAAGATCAAGAACGTTGGCTGTTGAGGACGTAATTCTCGTGGGCTCCGTTACTAATTGCGAAAGATTAAAATCTGCACAGAGATTTAGGAAATCGTTGCTTTCAGAAGAATAAGGCACGCAAATAGAAATATCTTGTGACCAGTTAATATTTGGGTAGTTAAAATCGCCAAAAATAAATAGCTGCGAGTTGGGAAACCTTGATACAATCCTGCTAAGTGTGTCATGTAATAACTCCACAAAATTCATAGTAAAGTTAGGTGGGCGGTAACATGCACAGACAACAATGTTTCTGTGACTTAGTTGGAAACGTACACATCCAATTTCTAAGCTAGATGCTAAGTTAATATGAAATGACTCAATGGAATCAGTAACTGCAACTAGCACGCCTCCGCCCGTCCGCGAATCCCTATCATGCCGATAGAATTTGTACTGCTTATCACAAAAAAAAAAAAAAAAAAAGTTCATCGTTACGTATTTTACTAGAGAACCATGTTTCGGTCAACACAATGATGTCGGCAGAAGCAGAATCAAAAGCGGAGCACAATTCATCGCGTTTCTTTATTACGCTTCGGATATCTGTAAAGAAAACAGAAAAATTTTTTACCGTCGAATCTTTGACTGGAAGAGTGCACGATTGTTATGACGTTGCTGATTCTTGCACGTGTTGCGATTGGAGTGACTCGGCACCTCTATTAGTAGCACTGGTAGCACTAGAAATTTCATAAACTTCGTCACTCGTACTGCAGTAGGCGTAACACTTCTTGTTTAGGTGAAGCCTGTTGTACCTTATCTTAAATATACAGGGTGTCACAAAAGAAAATTTACACGGTCTTTTTTACCGCAAAAATAAACTAGGCATCGCCGAACGCTCATTCTCCGCCCAAAGGTAGAGCTAGAGGTCACAACCAGATGCCAAAGTTTCAGCCCGATCCGATAACTTAATCAAAAGTTATAAATGATTTTCTGAAAATTTCAATGGGAAAATGGCGGCTGACGGAGTTTTCAAACACATGGGGCTCTATGGTGCCAGAAACCGAAAACGGACGAAAATGGGCTCCATTTTCCCATTGAAATGTTCAGAAAATCACTTATAACTTTTGATTAAGTTACCGGATCGGGCTGAAACTTTGGCATCTGGTTGTGACCTCTAGCTCTACCTTTGGGCGGAGAATGAGCGTTCGGCGACGCCTAGTTTATTCTTGCGGTAAAAAAGACCGTGTAAATTTTCATTTGTGACACCCTGTACTATCGGGACTCTGAGATTTTGCGAAATCAAACAACTTCTTGCATGTATAACGTGTGGCTGGTGCGAAGTCTTCATTGAAGGAGACGTTCCATGTTTTTAGTTTAGCTTTTGCCAAGAGGATACTCTCTCTAGTTTTGGATGAAACAAATTTTACTATTACTGATCGACACTTATTTCGAGAAAAAGTCCCAAGTCGGTGCGCGCGAGTGATTCCCTCATCAGAAATGCTCAGCTCAGGGACATTAGAAAGCAGCGAGTGTACTTTTTGCTCAGATTGGGCCCAGGTCTCTGAGGGCGAGTCATCTATGCCATGAAAGATCAGATTGTATCGCCGAAACCGATCTTCAAGGTCGTCAAGTCTAGCACGCAAGAATGCATTTTTTTTAACTTCTTCTAGAACCTGATGTGTAGTGCGTACTTCACAATCCAGTCTATCAAGAGCATTAGTCTTAGTTTCCACATTCTGGAGTCGGTTGGAGATGCCAGTGATTTTGTCTTCCAACTGCTGTTGATTTGTTTTGATTTCATTTACAACCATTAGTAGTTTAGATTGACCATCTTGAAGCGGTTTGCACATTTCATCAAGCTGCTTGTTAGGCGTATCAGGACCGGGGTTTACCTCAACGTCCCCGCATAGCATCAGCAATTTTACAACATCTATACTCTGACCGACGATCAAGAACAACTCCCGTGGGTCAGGCTTGGGCTTGGTCGGCATTTGACTGTGTTGCGTGTGGGTGAGTGTGTGTGTGTGTGTGGGGGGGGGGGGGGGGGGGGGGGGGAGGGAGGAGCGAAGCGTTGCTCGGATCTATTTTGTTGACCTAATATCACCAAAAACCACACATTGATTTCTAAAAAAAGTTGGAGTATATCGTGTTTGTTTGTTTGTTTTTTTTTCATTAAAAGTTTGCCTAAACAAGCTTAAACAGGCGGTCCTCCCCACCCCCCCACCCCCCATTCTTAAATCCGCTTATGCTTTAAACTCTGATCAAACGGGCCTATGGTAAATGTTGACCGTGGACGAATGACGCTGCAAATGGTTCCTGGTGTTCAAGGAAGAAGGCACAAACATTTCAGAAATACTGGATGCCGAGAAAAGAGTTGCCAACACTTCCGTAAACGAGCTCCAATAAAAGAAGCACAGGCTCAACAACGAGTTACAATACAATGCTTTCCTTCCTAAAAAAAAAAAAAAAATTCTATAGAACAGTAAGGACCGGTCAGTTGAGTTTGATAAATGCAATTCCCATTAAATGTCTTGTGGATGGCACTACATTTACCGACAACACCTGGTCATCTGCCCTCTCGACAATTTTGTAGCTAACTCAAGTGGGCCTGTTATTTGCTTTTGTTGACTCCACAAACCCAGCCAACTTTGCGAGAATCCCAAGAGCTCTTGAGATTCCGCTGCTTTCAAGCCACGTTACGGAACAGAACTTAAGAGGAAATAAACGCTTTTTGTGAAGCGGACACAATCTGCGCGACGTGCAGAAGCTCCTGCAGGGTTGCTGAGAAAAAGATATTACCGAATACCAGCGTGTTGCGGTTGTCTAAAAAAGGAGAAAAAAATGCAATATTCACTATCGCAAAAAAAAAAAAATCTAGCGATAAAGCCAGATATAAAGTTTTATCCATCATAATTTCAACTTTTCGCATTCGTGTACCTTTCACAAATAAAAAAAAAACTGTTTAAAAATATTGTATCATATTATATAAGCCAGTTGTTTTATTATTTTAGATTACCAAGATTGTTATACGGCGAGCAAGTGTCCCAATGTGCGTCCTTGGCGCATCGGAACGCAAGGAGGAATCCACCAATCAGAGGCCAAGATAGATAACGCGTAGAGAACGCGCGATGACTAGGCAGCCAAGCGCACATCGTGATTGGTTGAGGTCGCGGGGAAGCAAAAGCAGGTGGGCACGTTTGGGGGTAAACAAACGCATCAGGTGAGCAAAAAGCAGACGAACTTGCACTCCGTGTGGTCAGTGACAGCTTAATTAAGAAGTGCAGGGCGTGGTGAGTCCCTATCCCACAATTATCGCTCCGGATCCAATGAGGTTGCGGCATTGGCCAAGAAAATGTACGGCAAATTGCTAGGCATATGTGTTGCGTACGTGAAACATTCTAGCATCACAAACATTTAGCGACACTCCGAGTTTCCGGACGCCTACGCTCACGGCGATCTCCATCAGATAGTTTAACGCGTACCTTGTGTACACTCGATAGCTGTTCCTAAAATGAGGCGACGCCACCGCTAATCGGGCTGGTAAACTTGGCAATATTTCGGAGCCTTTTATCATCTCCAGCACCTCTCCCTCAGTGCGCACAAGTGCTTGAGCTCCCCCTCGCCTACCCCGCTCCTCCTCGCCTGGCCCTCTGGTGTTATGACCTCCCCGTTGTTTCGGGCCTCGCGGTCACACTTTTAACGAGGCTTCACTTTTAACGGGGCTTCGCGAATTGCGAAGCCCAGTTAAAATGCGAAGCCCACCTGCCCAAGGAACGTTACACGTTAATAACAACGATCAGAGCTCGGCGTTCTGACGTCACCACAACCCCTGCAAAAGAAGCAGACGAACTTGCACTCCGCATAGTGTTATCGTAATCTCGGCAGTTCAAAGTAAATGTGATGTAATAATGAGTCAATACAAGGAGGTCAGCTTTAACATCAGCTTGAACCTCTCTGTATGGACATGTACCAACATAGCTCGACTCACGCCTGTTATTTGGTACCGAGTGTTTGTAGGCACTGAAAGAATCGAAGAAACGCTCAAACTTTAGGTTAATTTGAAAATGGCTGACATGATCCGCGGTACATTCAGTGTGCGCATGACGATAGGAACCAGAGGAGGCGACGTATACCGGCTAAAACCAGCCAAACGAAAAAAAACCAAGTGAAGCCGGAAGTAGAGGTGGGAACGCCCCCAGGGGCGCCCCAGTCCGTCCAATGGCGTCTTTTGGTTTTGGTCATCGTTGGGGGTGTGTCTCTCCAAACGAAAGTCTCCCCCGGCTCCACCTTTGGTGGTGTCTTGTCGTCTCACTAAGTTCCCTACCTCCATGACTGTACGTATACTATACTATGACACACCTTTTATTCTTTCTCTTCATCCTGACATTGAAAGACACCGCATTTGCGAATTATATCTGGGGCATATAATCTACGCCCATCTGCCGGCGCTCTTACACTCTAAAAAAAGCCCGTGCGTCTACTTTCCCGCACAACACCCAGAGAGTCAATTACCGCAACTTGCAGGAACATCTCAACGAATGACGATGCCGAAACATATGTTTAGACCAAAAAACGCAGTCTGAGTTGTGACATAAAGCAATGCAAAACGTCACGCTTGCATTGCTTAATGTCACAACTCAGACTGCGTTTTTCGGTCTAAACATAAGTTTCGGCATCGTCATTCGCTGAGCTCCCTCCAGAAGTTGCGCTGATTGGCTCTCCGAGGTGTTGTGCGTGAAAGTAGACGCACAGACTTTTTTTAGGGGGTAGTTGTGTTCCATCAGTTCCGGCACTCTGGTGCAATCTCGACGCTATCAAGGCCTCGCGACATGGCGGGACGCGGGAGAACATGGAGGCAGACGTTCAGGCGCGAACACCTGTGCAAAAAAAACCATGCGAAAATCACGAAGTTTAGAATGCGGAAAAATAATTGCACATCTTTAATATAAACACAATAAAAAAAATAACGAACCATAGCTTGAATTTTATTGCGCAAAGCTGCGCCTTTTATTTTCTCCGATAAATACGCTGGATTTTCGAAAACAGCAGGAAACATTTTTCGTATGTTCCGGACACCGTGCAATGTTCGATTGATTTTTCGCACATGTTTTCCGGCCTCTCAGAACATTTTCAACTGTCAGTGACGCTATCGAAATAAGCTCCAGGGTAACAAAAATCACGAAAACGCTTGCTCTAATTGAGAAATATGTTTACAACAAAAATTACTTGTTGGCAAAAAAAAAAAAAAAAAAAAAGAAAAGGAAAATTATTTAGAAAGTTAAATTAGAGCAACTCAATTAATTAAAATACTACTAAAGTATGCTTCTCTGACGTGATTCCGCTATGGGGGGCGGCGAAGGGAGAGGGGCCGGTTTCGTTTAAAAAACCCTCTTTGCCTTAAATCCTACCTGTGAGAACTAACGGCCTGGTCAAGACACCTTCCCTGCCAGCCTGCAACGATTTTTCGAGCTCATCATCAACATCCGATCCGCGATGCCGAAACATAAAAGAAAGTCAATCATGTGTACATAACTTTAGAAAATCACTGTTTAAAAATGTGAACCGTGAAGTTTGTTATTTTAATGTTATTTCTGCGGGCACTAGCATCCGTGCCAGGTGAAACTCGCACCCTTCTTTATGTATCTAGGTATGGATCGAGAACTAGCCACAATGGCTAAGAATCTAGAAACAATATTCAGTGTTCTTGATGTTTACTGAAAATTAATAATTTTTTTTTTTTAAAGATTGACTGATATCGAGCACGTCTACACGTGTCGGCCTCGTCCTCCCAAGACTGCCAGGAGCCGCCTGCACCTCCTCCCTATCCTCCGATTCGTAAACTGGTTTAGCAAACACGGTGCGACCTTCAACGTCGGGGTCAGCAAACTGCGTCGAAGGTCCTCGGAAAACTACCGAACTTCATCTAACGAGGCATTTTTTGAAAAAACAAAAACAAAACAAAAAAAAGATATCCGCGCTGCGTGCGTCCATTTTCGCAGCAAAAGGACCGAATGCAATCGTCGGGGTGTGCGGAGCATCTGGTACTTTAGAGTAATTGTGTTTTGAGTGTGTCCAGAGGGCGAAAAGTTCGTCAGTCCCAACGGGCGCCTGGTGTCGCCGCTGTATGTGAGTCATTTTGCCAGCGTTGTAAAACCACTAGCCTGAGCTCATTAACGCGCATCACGCAGTAGCGATACACGACAGCACGCCGGTTGCGACGCTCATATTTAAACGGGCAGGGGTAAGGATTGCACATGAGATCCCTGTGTTTTGCATCCAGTGGCGTAGCTATAGGGAGGGGCTAATTCAGCCCCCCCTTTCCCCCCCCCCCCAAAAAAAGAGCTATCCAATCGAAGCTATAGTAAAAAAACATGCATATCGCCCCCCCCTCCCCCCCCCCCCCCCCCTTTCTTCCTGAAAAAAAAAAAAAAAATCCTGGCTACGAAATTGCCTGCAGCGGATGCTTCCGCTCCACGCACTCCGAGCTGCACGGCGCTCTAGCACACTCGACCGCCGAGCTCCGTGGTCTTTACTGCAAAAATATACTTATCCGAAACAGGAACCGAAAATCAGGTGGAGCACCACCCGCTCCACCATCTCAGGATTAAGCCAGGACGGGCGGCGCTGTCTCGTCCAACGCCCGCCGCAACAACAAAAGCCGCGTCATCAACATCATCGTCATCCCTATCCTCATCAGCGGGCACCGTTGACCGGAGCCCTTGTCCTGGGACCCCTTGTCCTGGGACCCCTTGTCCTGGGACTCCTTTTCCTGGGGACACCTTCGAGGGACCACCTTGCAGCCGTCCTACGCTGCGCAAGAGATACTTTTCAAAAGTGCGCACCACAGGTGCTGCACCGACTAACCGAGTCCCGCCTAGTTTCGGGCACGCACCGTGAACATTTACTGCACACGAGGGCTCTGTCAGCGTTGGGTGTGAACTCGGCTCTGTTGGTATCGAGAACGAGTGTGGCGCCAATGTTCCGCGAAGAC